TATTGACTATTTTGCTTTCTCCCCAAATTTTGTTTTCACTATGTTAGTTGGAAATACCTTGTTACAAATATAATATATGCATGCCACTAGAATCATAGTTTTGATCATGTATTTAACTAAGATTAGATAAAATAGTAGCATCAAAATTTGTACATGCTCATCATGTCATAATATAATAACAAATAATTCATTTGATAAATCTTTTTCTAACTATAATTTAGTAGCATCTTTAATGGTTAAACTTAAAACAAATTAACTTATTAGTAGTCTCCAATGCACTAATGGCCTTCAAATGAAGAAATCTATATATGCTTTATAACACAATGAAGAACCAATAATAACTTATTTCAACCTTACTATCAAATTTAGATCCTTTCATAATAGAATGGAAAACATATATGCAATAGAACCACAAACTTTAATATAATCAATATTTGATTTCTTTATCATTCAAAATTCACATGAAGTCACATAACATGTGGTAAAGCAATAAGTATTGTTTTATGTTCTTTAAGAATAATTCATATGATAAGAAACATAAAGGCAAAAGTGAATTTGTTACTAATGATAATGAAAAATAGAGCTAGCAAACATGCCATATTTAGAAACTTAAATATGATATTTAATATCATTCTACTTCAAACAGTACATAAGCAATAACATTTAGAAATTATTCTACAAATGTTAGCCACAAATTAATCACACAATTCCATGTTCTCTTGCTCCATTTTGTTTTTAAATCTTATATTAACAATTAATCAATTGACTTAAGTTCTTAAAAAATAAAAACAAATTAATAAGTTCTAAATAATTACCAAATCTAAACTCATTATAATTTAATAGAACTATAAAAATTTAAAGTAACATGTAGAGTCATCCTAATGCAAGAAAAATTTGAGAGAGTAGAATTTTCTCTGGATATGTCTTTAATACAAAAACATACCTTTGATTTGCAATAAAATTGCGTTGACATAATATTGTCATGCCCTTTTCCATTTTTCATGTTAAACTATTGACATTTGGAATCCCAATGCATGCATTTTAATCACAACTCTATAAACAAACTTTTATTACAATAAAGCATACTCTATTGTTTGTTAGTTCAAGCCACCAAAGTGTTCCAAACTTCTTGACATCCACTCGAAATATCCTTAAATTATAGTATATAGGTAGTTTTAAGAACCTTTTTTAAAGATAATAATTTTTGCCTCTAAGTAGAAAACATTATCTAAGAGTACAATGCCCATTAAAATGAACTTCAATTACCTAAAACTAGTATACCCAAAAAGGAAAGAAAAGTAAAGGAAAAAGATCTCGTCTCTTGATACTGTCTTATTTATTGATATGCACCAATTAATGTCTTTTGCAAACTTTAGATAAACACAACTTTTGAAGAACATATGTCTTGCTTTAAGTTTAATATGTAAATTTTGAATTGTACACTGAAACAAGAAAACCATTGCAATATTGGTTTCTTGCCCCTATACAACTCATTTCATCATTGTCCTCTTAGTTTGACTTTTCAGTCCTATTTCCTCCTCTATCACATTCGCATTCATATATAGGTATATATAAGTACATATCAGTCTTGATTCTAATAAAAACTAGAGTCTCAATATTTTAATTTAATTAAAAACTTAATTCAATGTTTAGAAATCTACGTTAATAAATGTTGATAATTGAACTTGAAAACTGATTATATATTACAATCTAATTCATTTTCAAATTCATATATCAATATTTAATAAGATAGATTTCTAAATTTTGAATTGAGTGTTTGATTTCAAAATGTAGATATCAATATTTAATAAGGTGCATTTTTGAATTTTAAATCGAGTTTTAATTAAATGAAACAACATTACTTAAGGTTAAGACTCTAATTTTATTTTAGAAATTAGGACTAATGTGTAGTATCCTCTTAGTTTTATTTTTTATTCATGTTTCTTCCTCTATCCCATTCTTTACATATATATACACATGTGTGAGAAAATGGCATATCAGTCCTAACTCAAAAAATAAATTGGAGTTCCAACTTTAAATTGTGTTGTTTTATTTAATTAAAACTTAATTCAAAATTTAAAAATCTATTTTATTAAATATTGATATTTAGATCTCAAAACTAATTATATACCAGATCTAAATATCAACATTTGATAGGATAAATCTTTAAATTTAAAATTAAGATTTCAGTTTGTAAATGTAGATTGGGACTCCAATTCTTTTAAGAGTCCAAACTAATATGCATTAATCTTTATATACACACATGAATAACACACTAAGCACTACTCACTTTCACAATCAACTTCCTTAAACTTTATATATTCACTCTTAAATTTACAAATTATGAAATGCCTAAAAAATTTAGATATGTCCTTAAGTGTGGAGAATGTAAGAAAGAGTCCCTAAGTGATGATGTGGGATAAGACTCAATTGTAAGGTATCTGAAATTTGAGATTTTTATGGCTAAACTCTAAAACCTTAGGGGTGATTTGCAAAGTTAAATAGTGATAGATATTTGAGAATTATAATATTCAAATGGATTATTGACGTAGAGGAGCAAAGAAGACACTAGAAAGCTTAAGTATTGCTAATAGGAGATCAAATACTCTATTAAAGACCAAGTGATTTAATGAAATTAAGAGAAATGAACCAATAGGAAAAGTTGCTTGTTTGACTTGATATTTTGGGACATTTGGGAGACATTTTAACCATTTATTTTTGGCCAAAATCATGTAGAACAAGTGAAGAAGAGAAAAGCAAAGAGCAAAAGATGGATAAAATGTAGAAAAGCTACTATGTTTTCCTCTTCTACACTGTTTTAGGAAAACATACCATCCATACTAATTTACTGTTAAATCAGGCTAAAATTTGGATTGGGTTTCTTAAAACATAAATCTTCAAAGTGAAAGATCACTTTATGATTTGAAATTTGGACCATGAAATAGATGCTCTGTTCTAGATGGGACTGCTTGAAATTACCTAGAACAAGCCAAGTTTAGCTTCTTTTACTCAAGCCAAGTTTAGCTTCTTTTACTTAAGCCAAGTATAAGTGAGGAAGTTTTAGAATCCTTGGAATTTCCTCCCTTTTATATGCATTTGATTGAGTTTAAGGACATTTAATTTTTATTATTTTATATGTGCTTAGTGTTTAATACTATATATATATGGGTTCCTTTGAAGTTGAATTGAGAATATGTGGTATAATTTGTTGTTATTAATTAAGATTTGCATATTTTAGAATTAGCGAATGAATTAAGGCTTTGTCCAGTTAATACCTGAATATATAATTAGTTTACTAATTTATTGTTAAGTGCATTTCCAATTACATTTCATAAATGAACTCATTGGATTTTTGTTGTGTCATTGGTGGTTATTTGGATTTTGTGTGGTGTGAAAGAACTTAAATGTACCATGCATTTTAAGGATTTAAGATGTTAATACTGTTTATTTTTAATTTAATTGACATGTTTTAGAATTAAGAGTCTATCGAATTTCAATTGGCATTCTTTTAGTATTAATTGCAATTTATATTTTACAAATAAGTTTACTTGTTTATATTATTATCTTTTAAGGTGAAATGAATATAATTTCTAAAAAAGATTCATTATCCTAAAAGAAGGTTCATA